CCTGTACCAAGCATTTCCATTGGGCCAGGCCCTCAGCAGCCTGTACCAAGCATTTCCATTGGGCCAAGCCCTGCCAGGTCCTTCCCCTGTCTTGTGTCACTACACCCAAGTGCTAGTTAGGGTTCTCCTTTGCCTTATCCCAATTCTGCCTCCACCACCTAAGCAGGCAGGGAGGTCCCTGGGCCTCCAGGAGTTCCCGAATACAATCAAGAACGGAGCAGGATAGGACAGTCTCAGCCAGCTCTAGCTGGTCTAGGCTGCACAGAGCACAGGTCTCCAGGTAGGGGTGGTCCCGGTACTCATGGAGGCACCAAGTAGCAATTCTGTGTCTTCTTCAGCTCCGAAGCTCTCGGAGACTCATCTGTCCCACTGCCAACTGGTCCCTCCTCCCTCACCTGCCACAGAACTAAGAGAGAATGATCCCTGCGAAGGGGAGCCGGTGTCAGCACGGTGCTGGAAACCAAGGGCCCCTCTATCCCAGTATTCAGAGGACTCTCACCTGCCCGAGTTAAAATCCTGGCTCCTCCCCTGACCAGCTCAACTTCTGCAGGAGTTCCTTCCATGCTCAAGGTACTCATCTCAGCCTCTCAGAACGAGGCTCACTCGAGTCTGACAGATAGGCAGTCACCAGCGTTACCCGACGGGCTGGCTGTCAGGGTACAGTGGCACAGGGTCGGTCTCCTCCTCAATGTGCATGGGTCTTGCTCACCCATTTCCCAAGCTGCCCACGGCGAGGTGGTTCTGGAGGTGTCCTGAATGGCTTGCATGTGGGAGCTCTTAGCTGGGAAGCAGCTGCCAGTTAGTGGGCCCTGGGCAGACTCTAAATCCTTATCTATTGCCTGATGAGAGTTCTACCCAGAGAGCACTGGAGGAGGAGAGCTCAGCCTCCAGTGAAGTCACATGACTCCAAGGGCCTCTTGCTCACTGCCTCCATGGAAGGATGGGGTGTGGAGTGTGGGGGACATTATCAGTGGTGAGCTCCCACCATGTAGGGCTCCACTGGGGGAGGCAAGGGGGTTTAGGGTGGGCCTGGGGTTCTGCTTTTCTGGCAAGTTCCCTGGAACTGTGAAGAGCCGTGTTGGGACTAGACTTGGAGCACCAAGGGCACCAAGCCTAGCACAGCCCTTCCTGAGAAGCGCCTGGGATGTAACGAGTGGCCAGCCCATCCTGGCTCCCCACCCAGCTCCACTCTGGTAAATACGACATGGCTTTTCAGAGTTGATGGGATTCCATTTCCATTACATATATAAAATAAATCCAGCACCGCATTATAAAATAAATAAAAAACAGAAAATGTGGAAAAAATAGTGGGGGGAAAGGATCACCGAGAACCTCCAATGGCACTAAGAAAGATGGCTGCTGTCTTTGCTCCCCAGGAGCCTGTCTCTGTCCAGGAGTCTGTCACCCAGGGAGTGGAATCAGCTGCAGCAGCCTTGCTTTATCACAGCCCAGGGGACAGAACGGGGCTGCCCCCAACACCCTCCATCCCCCAGTCCTGCGCCCTGAGAAGGATGCCGAGTCTCTTGGCACTCAGTGCCTCTGCCTAGACCTACCCTGGGGCACAAATAGGCCAGGAGGACCCTGATCCTTCCTTGCTCTAGGCAGAGGAGGCTGTGGTGGATCTGAGGGAGGGGGTGCACATCTGGATTCCTGGCCAGGAGCCCACATTCCTTCCTGGTGAGTGTGAGCAGATGGGGCCTCCGGAGAGTTATGAAGAGATTGCTGGCTGCCTCCTGCCCCACTATAATGGGACCCACCCTGCAGGACCACTTGTGGGACCCAAAGGGCCAGAAACTGATGTGAGGGCCTGGTTTGGGTCCAGAATCCCCCAAGTAGATTGCTGAGCAAGCATCACGGACCCAAGTGGGGTCTATGTCCCTCTATCCCAGACAGCCTTAGCTCACTTAACAGTATCAGGGAAACAGAGGGCCAGGGGAAACCATGGTGTCCACTTGCCCCCAGACCCAGGCAGGCAGGAAGCTCAGAGAGCTCAGCAGGGCTGAGCTACCTTACCTGAGGGCAATCCTTAATGTAGTGTCCTTTGTTGAAACAGAGGTGGCACAGGTAGTTGGGCGGAGGCCGCTTGCTGGGCTTGCGGGCCTCGGAGGTGAGCGTCAGGTCTGAGAAATGCTCGGTGAGGGAGCTGAGGCCATCCGCGATGTTGTTGAGGGAGCCATAGGGCGAAGCATTCCTGTACACACTGCTGCTCAGCGCCTGTGGGAACAGAGGCCATTCAGGGCTGTGGTAAAGGAGGCTTCTGCTCACCATGCCACACCAGTTCACACAGAACTTTCAGCCATCCCCAAGGCCCGAGTTCAAATCCTAACTCTAGTTGTGGGTTTGGCCTCAGGGGCCCTGACTATACTGTGGGAACATGAGAGAGACCCCCCTAAGGCTTGCATAAGGGTAAAGTGAAGTCGTGAGTCTAAAGCACTTTGTCATATGTCTGGCCCCTAGGACCCCTGGGTACATGGTGATGATGTTAACAGCTGTGACTGGTGTTGCTATCAGTTCCTGACACACTGCACCAGATGCAGAGGCTAACACTATCAACTCGACAGGATCTAGAATCACTCGGGAGAAAAATCTCTCAGCATGTCTGTGAGGGAGTTTCCAGATTGGGTTAAGCAATTCCGAAAGACCCATCCTAAATGTGGGAGGCACCATTCCATGGGCTGGGGTCCTGCACTCAATAAAAAGGCGAATCAGGTTTGCAGCAATGTGACCATCGGCCCCAGGCTCCTGACGGCGTGACCTCCCTCATGATGGAAGTACCCTCTGATGTGTGCTGAAGCATACCCTTCTTCCTTAAGCTGCCCTGGAAACAAGACAGGTGACTAATACAGATGGCATCATGGGAAGCCACTTGTCACCTGTGGAGGGACTTCGGACACATCTCTGTCCACTCTACTTCCCATCTAGTAAGGACGAGACTTGGGAGCTTGCAGGATGGCTGCCATTTTGCACAGAGGAGCTCGGCCAGCCTGAGCCACCTCTCTGAGAGCCTGGAGAGGGAAGTGGCTACCTCTCCCACCTCCACATGACAGGAACCAGACACCCGCTGAGCTCCCGAGCACACACAGCTCAGGCCCTCCTGGTGTATACAGCCTCTATTTATAGGTATCACGGGCTCCGGGTGGCATGGCACACCGGAATTTAGTGGGGCCTGTGGTGGGGCTGGCAAGGAATGACCAAGGGCTCCCCTTTCCTAGTGAAGGGCCAAGGCTAGAAAGCAGCAGCTTCCCCGGGAAAGTCAACAGTGAACCCCGGCACAGTGGTTGGAGTCCTCTGAGCCCACTACAGATGCCCCAAGGGGCAGAGATGAGCTCTGGCCTCGGGCTGATGTGGAGATGAGGCCTTGTTTTCAGGAGTCTGAAACAAGGTTTTTAGGCTGATAGAGAAACAAGGTCCCTGAACCCAAGATCTCAGACTCCTTTACAAAGTGGGCAGGGCAGGCCTAGAGCAGGGGCGGTCCTCTGTCTCCTCAGTGTGAGAAAGGGAGAGAAGAGAATTGACAGAAGTCTAAGGCACAGGGTACACCCTGCCTAACCCCAAAGAGAATGGCTTCTAATCTCATGTTTCCATCTTCAGAAGCTGGTCACTCAGCTCCTAGAGGATCCAGTCCTCACCTTCCAGGTAAGACCATACCTCAGACACCTGCTGGGTGACCCTGAGACTGGCCCTTTCCTTCTCTGGACCTCTGTTCCCTCTCACATTTTTTTGGCCATAGTCTGGCCATGGAAGAACACCAAGACGCCATACCTGGAGCTGCCCACAGCTAGCACACAGCTTTCCTGCAGTGAGGGAACCACATGGCTCCTGACGACCCTGTACTTAGCCATCTGGTGCACCATGAAACCCAGGTCAGAGCACCCTAGCACCAATCAGCACATGGTCTAGTCCAGCTCTCGCTCTTGGGCCAGCCCAGGATGGCCTGAGAGGCAGCAGTCCCAATCCTGGAGGCAGTGAGCCTGCCTATGCGGGGTCACTTTCTGAAGTACAGGGGGACCGCTCTGGTGGGAATCAGACAAGGTGGCCACGGTGACTAGCCAAACCCTAGGAACTGTGCACTTAGGGAGATGGCTGGCTCTCATCACACTCCAGTGAGTCACTACCCCCCCCCCCCACTTAACAGATGAAATGAGTATTCCAAACTTGTACCGAATGACCTGGAAACCAGTAACAAAAACAGTTTTCTGGGCTCCGCCTCAGAGTCACCACAGCGGTGGCTTGGGACCAAGGGCATATTCTGGTGTGTGATCAAATGTCCATAACAAGTTACCAGTTTAACGATTTTAAAGCGTACAGTTCCATGACACTAAGCATATTCTCACTAAAATACAACTACCACCACCACCACCACCACCACCACCACCACCATTCACCTCCCGACCCCTCCACCTCCCCAAGCCAAAACTCTGAATCCATTGGACCATCTGAATCCATTCCTGACCTTCTTCCTGATCCAAATCTGCTTTGCCCAGTGCCCCCTGAAAAATCTGGGCAGCAGCAGCCACTTCACCGGCCTCAGAGCATCAAATCCCAGGTCACTCTATATCTTGACAGGGAGACCTGTCCCGTGCCAGGAGGCCACCGGCTCTATCGTCCCAAAGTGGCCTGAGTTGGGGCAACACAGCCCCAGCCTCTGGGAGAAAAGTTCATCCAAACAAGAAATCTGAAGCTCCAGACCCTGTGACTCACGCTCACGGCTGGGAAATGCAATTTCACAAAATAACAACCCTCTTCTCTTGCCTGCTTTCCTTTCTTTCCTTTTTGCTGGATAGGATTTAAACAAGTCTGCAGCCTTCAAGACAGCTTTAAGAGGAAGGGGAAGTTTGGTGGACGCCAAAAGTACACTAATTACACCTTAAATAGTCCTCTCCCCAGGCCTGTGGCCACACTCCTAGGCTCACAACAGCCCCTCAGGCGTCCCCAACCAGCCAAAGGCTTCTGAGCAAGCTACCCCCACTCTGGCAACTCAGTAGTCCCAAATGCCCCCAAGGGTCGCAGATAAGCCTTCTCTAGGAGCTCCATGGACACAGCAAGGCTAGAATCCCCCTCCCGGATCCTGGCCTCCACTGTCCCCGAGCCTGTCCACATGACTGCCGCAGCCTTCCTCTCCAAGCCCCAACCCAAGACAAACACCACTCAGAACGAAGAATCCAGAGAGTAGTCAGTTGATTCAACCACATTCCCATGTTATTAGTAGAGAAGCCGAGGTTCTGAGGGCTGCAGGGACTCAGACCCAGTTGAAACTAAGAGCCAAGAGTCCAACTTGCCTGGTCAGGGGCAGGCTTTGCATGTCAGAAAGCCATTTCCTCTGCAAAGCCCTGTTTGAGCTCCAGCCACAGAGGTGAAAGGCAAGTCTCGGCTGTTTTCCTGGCCCACGGGAACTGGGCAGAGCACAGGGTTGGGACTGCCTCTTGGAACTGAAGGGAGAGAGGACAAATTGCCTGTCCCTGCAGGTACAGCATCACTGCATTCAGACACTCGGGTCCTGAAATGTACCCAGGACCCAGCAAGGAAAAGGTGATCAGCCATTCACCTGCGCTGCAGGGCCGGCAAGCAAAGCAGAGATGCATGGGTTCCCAAGGCCCTGCTGTCCAAGGAGGGCAGGCCCACTCATGATGTAAGTGAGCCTCTGGACTACATCATCGTCCTGGGTCAGTGACAGCAGAAGCTGGCAGGGGACATGGGGTCCTTCCACCATATGTTTGAGATACGGCATCAGACTCATGGTCATTGCTGGAACCTTCTCCAAGGTTCTTGATGGGCTGAGAGGGAAAAGTCGATGAGAAGACACTGGTTTGTTCTGACCACTGTTGAGTCGTTCTGGTATAATCTACAGAATCTCTTCTTTGTCTTAGTTCCCCTTAACTGCTAAGACACTTTTATCTGAACACTGATCTCATTTTTGTAGAGCTGGAAATTGAGACACAGAGAGACTTAGTGACTTGCCCAAGGCAACACAGGCAAAATGTGTTGGCCAGTTATATTTTACCCCCACACAGCCTCCAAGACCTGTCTCCACCTGTAAAAAGGTAGCCAGAGGACGATGTCAGGTGTGACATCATATGTAAAGCCCCTCGGTGCTGAGCAAGACATGGTACCTGCTTCTCTGGGTTCTGGAGAAGGTTAGTTCTGCTGTAGACTGTGGCGAACAGAGGCAGAGTCCTAAGGCTGTGCCCCCCTCTCCCCAGAGAAGCCTGCCCAGCTGGACCCTCCCGCAGGACTATCAGAGGGCACCACAGGCTAGGGCGGAACCGGCAGGTTCTGCATAGGTAGGCCGATACTTCTGAGAGTGGCCCAGAGAGAGTGGAATGCTGAGCCATAGAGATGAGAGGTGAGACAGAGAGGCAGGAGCAGCAGGGCAGCAGGTGGAAGTGAGACAGACACAGCCATGGGCAAGGCCAACAATGGTGGAGGCAGTGTTCATGGCTGGGCCACAGGCAGGCTACTCCAGGGAGATTAGCAAACAGAGATGCCCTATGTCCTCCTCTCACCCAAAACAGGCCCAGAGGAAGGAGCCTGATTCTAGCACCAAGTTCTATGGGGTTTCTTTCATCAGCCAGACAACTATCTTCTCATCTCCTAATGCCACCAACCCCTCACCTCTGCACCCAAAGCCACCCAGCCCTCACCTGTTGTGGAATATTAGTTTAACTATATAAAGATGTGTTGCATTTGTTTACGTTGCCTGCCTCAGGCACCTGATTGGTCTAACAAAAAGCTAAATGGTCAATAGCTTGGCAGGAGATATAGGTGGGGGACTTCTAGGCAGAGAGAAGAAGTAGGAGGGAGAATCTAGGCTTGACAGAGACAGAGGGAGAAGGAGAAAAGGAGACGCAAGGGGCCAGACAGACAGACAGACATGGAGGAAGCAGGAAAGTAGGACATACAGAATGAAATAAAGGTAAAAAGCCCTGAGGCAAAACATAGATGAACAGAAACAGGTTAAATTAAGTTAAAAGAGCTAGTGGGACAAGCCTAAGCCTAAGGCCGAGCGTTCATAATAAGTCTCCGTGTCCTTATTTGGAAGCTGGTTGGCAGCCCAAAGAAAATGCATTTACACTCACCTCTGCACCCAACACAAACAGCACACACTGCAATAAGAAACCACCCACACCACCGATGACTGTACCCCTTCTTCCAGAGATCTGTACTTCTGTCCCTAATGCCTAGGGACACCTGGAATGGTGCACAAACCCACCCTC